TCCCAGATGAAAAAAAGCCCAGAACAACCCTCAGACGGGGACAGAACCAAGAAAGGGGAAAACCAGCATTCACTGAAGCTAAACCGAATCACCCATGTAAACCAGGCTTGGGTCAGATGGTAGTGGGGATGTCAGAAGCTCCTCCAGGCCGAAGGTGGTTGAGAAGGAACAGAAGGTGAGGATGGATTATCAGCAGAGCCCTATTCATAGAGTATATGGGTGGGTTGAACGGGCACTGATCTTCAAAAGCTCCAAGCAAAGTTGCCTGCAGGGATGCAAATAGCAGGGGAGAGGTGGTCCCAGAGGAAATTCCGCCCCCACAACCCTACACCCGTACTTGTAGAAAGGTGCAGCCACGCTCTGCTCGCAGAAGTAGTCGTTAATGTAGGTGCTGAGCAGGCGCCGATCCCAGCTGTCCGTCACGTGGCCCCCGTAGTTGACACCTGCGATGAGGTACTTGAGGGCATCCCAGGGCGTCTCCTCGTACTCATCCAGGTACAGGCTCAGCAGGTTCTCTGACACCTGGAGGGACACAGCAGGCACCACACCAATGGCACAGGGCTCCTGACATCCGCTGGGGTGTGCTCCACTGGTTGCTTCTGTCAGGTTTAGCACAGTGCCTCGCAGGGAGCCCTGGAGGCTTGTGTAGGTCTTGGAGTATGAGTAGGCTGGCCCTTGTGGGAATCCCAGAGTTTGTTTTTGTAGGGTCTTATGGGAAAATGGGGATTGTTATTGTAGGATCTCCAAAGAGTGTGTGGGCTTATTTGTTACTGTGGAGTTTCATGAATTCAGGCTTGTTATTGTAGGGTTTCACAGAGGAACAGCTGGGTAGGGGTGAGGGGGAGTTATTGTCATAGGATTTGACAGGGGAACTCCTGGGGGCTGGAGGTTATCATAGGGTTTGATAGGGAATAGGTGGGAGATATGTCTGACTGGGAGAACACATGGGGGGTTGTTGCTGTTGTAGAGTATGATGGGAGAAAAAAGACCAGATGGCATTCACCCAAGAATTCTGAAAGAACTCAAATGTGAAATTGTGGAACTAACAACTGTGGTTTGTAGCCTATCCTTTATATCAGCTTCTGTAGCTAATGACTGGAAGATAGCTAATGTGAAGCCAATATTTAAAAAGGGCTCTGCAGGTGACCTTGGCAATTACAGACCGGCAAGTCTAATGTCAGTACCGGGCAAATTAGTTGAAACTATAGTAAAAAATAACATTGTCAGACACATAGAAGAACATGATTTGTTGGGAAAAAATCAATATGGTTTCTGTAAAGGGAAATCATGCCTTACTAATCTACTAGAGTTCTTTGAGAGGGTCAACAAGTATGTGGATCAGGGGGATCCAGTGGATAATAGTGTACTTAGATTTCCAGAAAACCTTTGACAAGGTCCTTCATCAATTTTTTTTTTTTTTTTTTTAATAAAGGGGGAACTACAACTATAACAGATAACTACCTAACACTAACTAACAACAACTAGGATCATGGTTAAAAGACAGGAAACAAAGGGTAGGAATAAAAAATGGTTACTTACTTTGTACATGTTGTTCTTCGAGATGTGTTGCTCGTATCCATTCCAGTTAGGTGTGCGTGTGCTGTGTGCATGGATTCCAGGGCTTTTTCCCTGAGCAGTATCTGTCGGGTCAGCCAGGGAGGACCCTAGAGTGGCGCAGGCATATTGGTGCATATATACTCCTGCTAGCCCTCCACCTCCTTAGTTCTTTCTTGCCGGAGACTTTAGACGAAGGGGAGGTGGGTGGAATGTGGAATGGACATGAGCAACACACCTTGAAGAACAACAGTTACGAGGTAAGTAACTGTTTTTTCTTCTTTGAGTGCTTGCTCATGTCCATTCCAGTTAGGTGATTCCATAGCAATACCACCGGACGTGGGGTCAGAAGCCTAATCTGCAATGGACTGCAGCACAGCCCTACCAAAGGCTGCATCGTCCCTAGCCTGCTGTGCAATTGCATAATGAGTTGTAAACGTGTGGCTGGAGGACCGCGTGGCTGCCCTACAGATCTTGAGAATGGGCACTTGCATGACAAACATTGTTGACAAGGCCTGTGCCCTCGTGGAGTGGGCCGTGAGTGGGTGGGCCTCTCACCTTGCAAGCTCATAACAGGTCCTGATACAGGAGGTGATCCATGTGGACAAGCATTGGGCCGACACCTGGAGACCCCTCATCCTCTCTGCTATAGAAATAAAGAATTTTGTGGTGACCTCCTAAATTTCCTTGTCCTATCAATGTAAAATGCCAGGGCCCGTCTCATGTCTAAGGAATGCTCCTTTGGTGTTGGGACTGCAGCAGGGACTGCTCCTTGGTGTTGCATAGGGCTTGGGAAAGAAAACAGGGAGGTAGATGTTCTGCGACACGTGAAAATGACACAACTTTGGGTGGGAACGATGGGTGGGGGTGAAGCCTAACCCTGCCTTTAGAGAATACTGTATAAGAGGGCTCTGATGTGAGGGCCCTCAACTCTGAAACCCTCCTGGCTGAGGTAATGGCCACCAAGAACACTACCATCCACGAGAGGTATTTCAGGGACCAGGTGGCAAAGGGTTCAA